AAAGAAAGAAAGAAAGAAAGAAAGAAAGAAAGAAAGAAAGAAAGAAAAGAGGAGGAGGAAGAGGAAAAAGAAAAAGATAAAGAAATTTATAAAGATAAAGGCTGATGGTGCATGCTTTTGATCCCAGCACTTAGAAAATGGAAGCAGGCAATCCCTCTAAGTTAGAGGCCAGGATGGTGTATAAAGGGAGTTTTAAGTCAAACAGAACTACAGTGTGAGACCCTGTCCCAGAGAGAATGAATGAATTTGGATATGGACTAGAGATGGTTCAGCAACTTAGAACAACTGTTTCTGTTGCTCTTGCATAGGATGTGGCAACTCCCAACACCCAAATGGTGGCTCACAATCATCTATAACTCCAGCTGCAAGGGATCCAAAGTTCTCTTCTGGCCTCTGCAAGCAGCAGACACACAGTGGTACATACACATACATACAGTTAAAACACTCATACATATAAAATATATACATAAACATAAATTACTTTTAGATAAAGAACTTGGCTGTGTTCTAATGCTCTATGAAAAACAAGAAAAATTCAGTGTTGAGTTAGAGATTCTGAAACAATGTTAAAGGTACAAGTTCTGACAACTTAGGGTAAAGTTGGTGAACTAAAGAAAAGTGAACTAAAGTACTTCTAACCAAAAATTAACCATAACTTGATGACTTGGAAAATTATTAGACTGTCCACATTGTAAAACTGAGACAGGATATTCTGAAGAAAGTATTAAGGGTGTATTTGAACTATTACTGAAGAGTATTAATACATGCAGACACACTGCCAATTTCAACTAAAGAAGATAAAAACAGTAGAAAACAAATTCTCCTGCCTGACTTCTTATATTACATAGCTAGGCCAATAAGATTAATCCTAAGAGATCCTTAGGACTGACTCTTCACCTTCAAAAGGCAGGGAGAACATTTTGGTTTCAAACAACCAAGCAACTGTCACCTGAAGCCTCAAAGAAAAAAGAACCCTAAAGAGGGGGCTGGAGAGATGGCTCAGCGGTTAAGAGCACTGACTTCTCTTCCAGAGGACCTGGGTTCAAATCCCAGTACCCACATGGCAGCTCACAACTGACACCCCCACCCCATTAGTGCATGCAAAACATGCTAAGTGGAGTCACAAATGTTTGTGAGCCACCACGTGGGTGCTAGGAATCAAAGCTGGACTTTAGAAGAACAGCCAGGGCTCTAAATCACTGAGCCAACTCTCCAGCCCAAAATGTCAAGTTTTAACAACTAAAACAGGAGGAAAGGGGGAGGGGACAACAGGACTAAACACAGCAAGCTATACCATTAGATACATCAGTAATAAACTTCCTTCCCCTCTGTTAACTGAACTGAAATCTCTTATTCAATGATACAAGGTCAGGAGCTGAGCTCACTGGTCATCTCACAGTTACAAACTTGATGTGGAAACTGACCTTGGCTTCCTTTACTCCTTTCTTTCCTTTGACAGTTCCCTCTGAAGGTTTGGTTTTCTCATTCTTCTTTACTGTCTCATTTAAAGGCTTTTTTCCACTTGGTATAACCCCAAAGAATTTCCGAATGTCCTAAAAATAGAAGAGGAGACATGTAAATATAAGTATATAACATCCTAATCTCAGTCACTACTGAGACAACCATACCCTATTGACCTAACCACAGTCATCTCTCCAAAGCAAGATCATCTGTATTCAGCAGGGCCCTTCTTATAAATAAAGCCACCTTATAAAATTACCTGAATTAAAAATAATTTTTCTAATGCAAAGAGATATTAATTCTCAGAATGTAACCAAAAGCAAGGCAAAAATAAACAAGTAAAATTCCTCCCTGGTAGCCTGGCACAGTGGTGCATGTGCTCAGGGAGGCAGAGGAAAATGGATCTCTGTGAGTTCGAGGCCAGCCTGGTCTGGTCTACAAAGAGAGTCCAGTACCCCCAGGGCTACACAGAGAAACCCTGTCTTGAAAACAAGACAAAACAAAATGGTTTTAAAGAATTGTTTTTGACAATGAAAGCACAGTTATAAACAGTCAAGTAACAGATAGTGATTGAAAATGCATGCACATACAAATCCCATCATCCCAGGCAGATGAGAAGACACAGTTCAGCATCACCCACAGCCACAAATTTACACTTCATTTTGAGAAAACAACTCTCACAACTGGGATCATTCTCAAAAAAATATTTTTCTCTACATGATTAAAAACTCTAAAGAAATAGAGTGCCTGGTACCTATTGTAATATACTCTTTCATTATGCAACCCTGAGCTAAACTATAGAATTTAAATTAATCAAAAATGTTCACAATATAACAACATTAAAAGCACTCAGCTAGGTGTGGTAGCACACACCTTGATTCCAGCACTCAGGGAGGCAGGTGGATTATTGTGCGTTCAGGGCCAGCCTAGTCTACAAAGAATCCAGCATAGCCACAGTTACACAAAGAAATCTTGCCTCAAAAAAAAAAAAAAACAAAGCACCCAGTTTCCTTATCATTTACATATATATTTTCCATACCTTTCCTTTTTGTTTTGTTTTTATTTTGTTGTGAGCCTCTGTAGGCCAGGCTGACCTCCAGCTCCTAAGAGATCTACCTGCTTCCGCCCTCATCCTCCAGTGCTGCCCTTACGGGTGTGCACCACCACTCCCAGCTCCCCACCTTCCCCTAATTTAGTTGTGAAGAAACCACAGTACAAAGAAAAGTGAACAGACCTTACCATCGAGAAGCCTGGGTTTGAATCTGTGCCCTAGTGCATTCTACTTGTGTGATCTCGGATAATTCATTAGTATCTCAATCTGTTGTAAAGCTTAAACATCTATTATCATTGTGGCTCAGCAAAAACGTCTCCATTTCTGAGCTACTATCCACTCACATCATTGAAATGTCCCCTTTTTAAACTGCTTATTAAGCAAAGACATAGGATTTCATGTCTTCCTTTCCAGAGTTCCCGGTATATAAAAAGTTCTAATTTATTAAGTAAATCTAAGTTTAAAAAGTATTGCTGCCAGGCTGGTGCCTGTCATCAGGAAGTAGAGGCTGGTGCATCAGGAGTTCAGGACTAGCCTTGGATACACAGCAAGTTTCAGACTAGTCTGGGATACAAAATACTCTGTTTCAAAAACAAACAAACAAATACATGCATGCATGCATACATACATACATAGAGAGCCAATGTGATGGCTCAGCAAGCAAAGCTAAGTTCAGTCTCTGGGACCCAAGCAGAGGTGGACGAGAGAACTGACTCCTGAAAGTTACCCTCTGACCTCCACATGTATGTGATGTATGTACACCTACATAAACATATCTCATTCTCTCCCACACACACAGAAATACACAATATTATTAATAATAATAATAATAATAAAATTTAAAAGTGAATAAAACAAGCATACAGCCCTTGGCTATGAAATTCAGGACATTTGTGTCAGGTGGTGAAGAATAGAACAATAAAGTCACAGTCATATGTACAACCTGCCAAGAACTGAGCTTGAGGCTGACTACTTTATTGCTTCTGGAGGAAATGACAGTTTCTAATCAATCTCACTTTTTAAAATTATACAGAGATTCTTCACCCTAACAGCGAGGATTACTTAAATTAAACACATACAAATGAAAGAAAAAGAGAAAAGGGCAGAGATAATGCAGATGACGCCACAAAGATAGCAAAAACCCTAAATTAGTAATTAGGGAGCAAGGGAGCAAGCAAAATGGCTTGGAGGGTAAAGGGCACTTGCTGTCTGCCCAAGGACCTGGGTTCACTCCCTGGAGAGAAGTAATTCCCACAAGCTATCCTCCAACTTCCACACCTAAACCATGGCATACATGTACAAAAAGAAACAAAATGTGAAAAACAAACAAACAAACAAAACTACGGTAATGACGGTCCTGTTCTTCAACTCTGTTTTACATCACAGACTAAAGGAGCCAATTGTTCAGGGAATGCAACAACTGGCAGCACTGACACGCATGTGCAGGCAAGTCTGCCCTGCGCTCAGCGGCTCTCTACCCTCTTTCCACATTCCTTCTCTTCCTTTCTCCGTACTCCACCCTACTCTTCAATCCCTATACTGACGGCAGCACAAAGGTGAAGAAATCACAAACCCCAGCTCTATCCCAATATATACTAAAAACCTACACTCTGGAAAAAAAAAATTTACTAGAATGGAAGCTATTCAACACCACATATCTCTACAGTAAGGCATAAACACGCAAGGTGAGCAGCCAGCTAATGAGCTTAGAGATGGCGGTATCCCCTCATTCTCCTGAGCAGCAGCTTCTGTCTAGTATTCCAGGTCCTCGAAGCCTTAATATCTGCAGAACAAACTGAGTCTTACTCCAAATAAAATGTCAAGCCCCTCTCTCGTCTGCCCGTGAACGTTCTGCTGAGTAGTGAGTGAAAAAAAGGAATTTTTTTTTACATTTGTTTATTCTGTGTGTATATGTACGTACATGGCCACATATCTGTGGAGGTCAAAGAACAACTTTCAGGAGTCAGTTCTCTCCTTGCACTACATGGGTTTTAGGAAATCAGACTCAGGTCATCAGGCTTGGCAGCAAGTGCCTTTACACAATAACTAATCTAGCCAACCCAAGAAAAAAAAATTATTTTTTTATTTACTTTTACAATGTTGACAACGGCAAGACCTTCTAAGCAGACTATTATGAGGTCAAACGTCCATAAAGGCAGATCTGCCAAGCGTGGTGATGCTCACCAAGCATGGTCATCTCACTCAGAAGGCTGAGGCACAGAATTGTGAGGTTAAGGCCAGCCACTATGACATAGTAAGTGCCTGTCTTAAAGACAGAAGGGGCTGGACACGTGGTTTAGAGAGTGGAGAGCCCGCCTACTAGGCAGGAAGGCCTGGGTCCTGCCCTAGCACTACAGAAAAGCGGATGTGACGGCCCTCAGGGAGGGGAAGCAGGAAGACCAGTTCAAGCCAGTTTGCACTATAGAAGCAAGCCCCTGCTTCAAACAAATTAAGAATTTTGACTACAGAAGAATGAAACAAAAATATCTACAATAAGAAAATATAAATGGGCTTCTACAAACCAATAAAAGACAACCAAACAGAAAATGGAATCAAAGCTAATAAGAAGCAAACTAGAAAAGAAATGTAAATACCAACAAAACACGCACATACCTTCTCTCCCAATAATGGCATTGCTAAAAGGAATGATGGGGTGAAAAGGCACAGGCCACCTTGCAGAGGAGCCGAGTTTGGATTCCACACTTCCGGCTCAGAACTGCCTATAACTCTAGCTTCAGTGGGTCCAACCCTCTTCTGGCCCGAGGTCACTGACTCTCATGTACACACACACAGATATACACACAGGCAAATTTTTTTTTTTTAATCTTAAGAAAGTATAAAGGAGCTGAGCATAGTAGCACACATCTGTGATTCCAGCACTTGGGAGGCAGAGGCAAGCAGATCTCTATGAATTTGAGGCCAGCCTGGTCTACACAGTGAATTCCAGGCAGAAAAAAAGGGTTGGGAAGGAGAAGGAAGCAACTAAATGTAACTTCCCCTCCACCTTTTTCTTTGGTGATTATTACTTTAAAAAAAAAACAGGGAAATTCAAGCAAAACATAAAATTCAGGCAAAACTCACAAAAGTTAGATTTTAGCTGAGATAACTAAAAATAAGCAAAAATAAGTAATTTTTTCATATCTTACAGCAACTGGACATAGATTTATGTCTCTTGTGAGACAGGGCAAATAAAATTAGAAATATCCCTATCTTAAATGAGGAAGTAGAATGGATAAGACAAACACAGGTCTTGACATATTTGACACTGACTAAAAGGACAGTTTGAATGAGTTACTTCATTTTTCTGTCCCTTAGTCTCCTCAAGATGTCAGTTGCTTCACAAGATCTTTCTGAAAGCCAGGCATTGGTGGCGCATGCCTTTGATCCCAGCACTTGGCAGGCAGAGGCAAGTAGATCTCTGAGTTTGAGGCCAGCCTGTTCTACAAAGTGAGTTCCAGGACAACCAGGGCTACAGAGAAACCCTGTCTGGAAAAAAAATAAAACAAACAAACCAAAAATCCTCCTGACAATTCCAGGTGGCACATCTAACACCTCTGAAATGAAATCCGGTCTTCCATCTCCAACCTTCAACTTGACTCTGACTACCTACTCACTCTAAGAACTGTGCAAAACAGACATTCCCTACCATAAGCAATCTTTCCTTGACCCATTTAATCTTATACACTCAGAGGAAGGCACAGTGTCAGGGACTCAAGATGCAAAACTGAGCACACCTTTATGAGAAAAAAAGCGCTCATGACACTCCATTGGAGATAAGTGTGTATATAAAGAATTAAACACAATCCTGTGTGAAGACAATTGTAATCATAAGGCTATGAGAGTACCAGAACCACCTGGCACAGGACCCCAGGAACAACACCTAAACCAGGCCTTACCATGACTAACAGGTGCATCAGGTGATGGGCATCTAAATTTAAGCTTGGAGACACTTCTTAGGTTCTACCCAAAAGACTCGGACTCTCCAGATGAGTGTCTATTTAATGTGCACACAGGTGATTAGGCCTTCACACATGGGCTCAG